ATTATAGCCCAAGCTTTTCCCAAGCAGTAGTAAGGTTCCCCGGGGATTGGGAAGCCAAGGGGCCAGTCAGAGATGGATTAATTTCAAGTGAAAGATTTAGAGGGTCTGTAAACACACAGCACATGGATGACAAGGGTTCGACAAAGTGAAGAATGGGTCTGTTTCTTCTTACACTTCTACCCCCAGTCATCAGTGCAGATAAAGGAGGGAGGTGGGAAATGGCAGTTACCTACAGATAAGATTAGAACATACATCATTGTGTTTCTCCTATATGCCACACATTTAGCACACATCATCTCCCACTCCCTTTATAACTCTATGAAGTAGGCATTAGCTCTGTTTTACAGCTGAGGAAATCGACTCAGAAATGAGAAATTACTTGACATAATTTACACGAGCTCCTCAGTAGCAAAGTCAGGATTTGAACCTAAGTCCATCTGGCTATAAAGCTTTGGAGCTTTCTACTTTGCATACCATCTTGCCTCTTCTGCGTCAGGGAGAGCAGCCCAGCCCCCAGGGAAATAGCTATTGCTTAAGAACACTAAGTTACTCCCTGTGGACAGGATGCCTGTGGTTCTTTTCTTTGTTCATCAATTCATTCTACAAATACATGTTTATTTATAGCCAGAAAGTAAGGAGAAGAGAGCAGGCCAGGTGGGTGAGCTGGGAAGGGATACTTCTGTGGGTAGGAGGGCAAGGTGGCCTGAAAGGGTTGAAGCTAAAGTAAACAGACAAAAAAACAAAAATGGGGCCAACAAGAGCTTAAATGCAGCATGGGAACTAAGTTTGGGGATCTGTTTTGGATACAGTACTGAAGGGGTCTCTGGGTGTTCACAGGAGAGATGTCTGGAGCAACACTAAGAGGCAAGCTGCAACTCCATGGAAGCACTCAGGATCTGAGGCCGTTGACACCTCCACACCATGAACACACGCAGGAACTGTCAATATGGAGACAGGTATTTTTAAAAAAGCACACCAGAATGTGTGTGACCACACAATGGAGGCCTACGCCTTTATTTCATGCCATTTCGAGTGCTCACCACGTGACTGCAACTCCACTTCAAAGGAGCCAACACCCCTTTGGATGCATAAAGTCTAGAGGTTTGTGGAAAAGAGAAAAAGAGAAAACAATCTTCATTTATAGTCACACTGTAGTTAGGGATGTGTATTAAGACCTTAAGGGATAATATGAAATGATGTAATGATACAGAAGGAACTGGGATGGAGGGTTTGTTCATATCCATTTTCCTTATTTTTCTTTCAGAGGTGAGCACAAATGATAACAGATTGTAATAAAGCAAGCCTGACCCATACAGTCACTTAATAATCCCAGAGGGAATGTGACCCAGAGCAGGGAGGGGCAGAGCTCAGGAATGTGTTGCTGTGACTCATTCCAGGACTCCCAGGGCTTCACCTATACCTGAGACGTTTGGGTGCTGTGGAGGTTTATTTTTGTCCACTCCCCAGTTGGGAGGATGACAGCTGGGGTGACTGTGAGACTCCTAAGGGCCTCTGGTATACACAGGCTTGGGAACCCAGGGGCCTGATGGACTGTTCCTCTCCTTTCCATACCAAGTGAATGCAATACCAGCAGCCTCCAGGATTTAAAGGGGAGAACTGGAGGCAATGATACTGATCATACGGTTCATAAAAACTACACCGATGATTATAATCAGCATGAGTGCTGGGGAACAATAAAAGCTTTATAAAGATGTACTTTCTCCTACAAATGAATTATAACACATCTCTCATAAGAGAATTACCTAGTGATTTTTTAATCCCTTAAAATTTTTGATTGAAGGGTACCATGAATGTGTTAAATGTAACTATCATTAGGTAGAATTTTGCTTCATAGCACGTGGGACCCAAATCCCATAAAAGGAGAAATAGTTCTTGACCAGGCACGTGGTCCTTCAACTAACACACAAAAAATACTGCCTTGGGAAGAGCTTTGACAGTCTCTTTTGCATTCATTGCAAATACCTTCACTCCAGAGAAACTTTATTCAAGATTAGGAAAATAGCTGGCAGTCTGGGCACTCTCCCCGACGGTGTGACAGGTAAGGAAAGACCACCTTCCACCCTCTCTCATATTTCCCCTTATATTTGGAAGCCAAGAGCCACACTAGCGGAAACAGACCCAGTATCTTTTAAAGTCTGTTGTAGAATATCGATGCCGTGGTTTTCAACTGTTTTCCCCACTCCAATCTTATGCTAAAGGATGCGACTCGCTCAGAGCAGTAGCAGTGGCTCATTGTGGTAATTAACTGCCCTGTCAGAGAGGTGACAGAAAGATAGAATCAATGTGGTTGGTGGGTTTCTGCCGCTCCCCTCTGAGCCCCCACTCAGCACCTCATTATCACAAGCTCTTCAAATCTAATAGTCATTTACAAGCTTTTGAAGCAATCTTTACTTCATCACCTACCTGAAGGAATTTATGTCCTGTCAGCAGAGTTTCAGCATCATTTTTTGTTTACGATACTGCAAAATGATTCTACCTTCTTGGGGACAGTTATCCCTTTCAAGTTCCTTTTTACATCTGTTTTGTTCCTAAAGCCAGAGATGCAGGCCAGGGCGACGGGGACAGAGGTGGGATCCCTACCTCGTGAATAGGACTTGGGAGGCAGAGGACTTATTTTTACGCGGGTACAGAGTAAAACCCCAAGTCGCGATTGATTTCATGTAAGGCTGGAGAGGCCCAAGGAGGACGCAGTTTGGGGTGAGCACCGGGATCTGTGAGCCAGGGTCCCTTCAGCGTCTCATGGTACGTGTCGGGGGGGGGTGCGGCAGGTCCCCCGTTCCTCCTAGTCCCATTGACACTACGCTTCATCCCAGTCCCTGCGGAACTATATTAATAGAAAGCGACACTTCACACATCGGTGCTCAGACCCCAAAGGGAGGCTGGCAAAGGCTTGGCAGGTGGGCACGAAGCCGGGAGATGGGTGGGGGAATGGGGCGGAGGCATCGTCGAGTGGCGTTATGCGCAGCCAATGGTAGCTCGGGGCAGGGGTGGCAGGGGTGGAGGCGCCGAGGCGGATCAGCCAATAGAGGGCTAGCAACTACTGGAACGACCTGGTGACGTGAGGAGCGTTCCATTCGGCCAGCGGTGGGCGGTTGCCACAGCTGGTTTAGGGCCCCGACCATTGGGGCCCCTTGTCAGGAGGAGGCAGCCTCCGGGCTGGGGAAAAGCCGCTGCCACCTCTGGCGGCCGACGCGGTCCCCTGGGACAGTGCACTTCCCGGCTTCGGTTCCCGGCCGAGTTCGCTCTCCGGGGTTCAGGTAACAAGGGGGTGGGTGGGGGTGGGGGTCTCTGGGGCTCGGCCGCGTGGTGGGTTGCAGCCCCCTCGGCTGCACCGGGACGCGCGGAGCCTGCTCTGCCCTTCTCGGCTCGGCGATTGCCGAGCCCCTGGCCGGGGGTGACTACACGTGGCGGGGCGTGTGTGAGTGTGTAAGAGCGTGCGGAGGTGGCGCGCGTCCCATCCTGCCCGGGGCGGTGGTCGGCGGCGTGGCTGAGGCTGGGCGGGCCTCTCGAGGCCGCGCCCGCCGCCCGTCCGGGACTCTGGACTCGGGCCTCGGGCCCCGGGCCGCTGGGCTGGTCGCTGGTTCTCGACGGATTTTGATCTTTGTTCTCCCAGGCCCGGCTCCCCTTCCTGGTCTCTCCTCCCGCTGGGGCGGTTTATCAGGAGAAGATTGTTATCCAGGTTAGTTTTACACAAAGGAAGTGTTCCCTACACCTCCGATGCCCCCTCCCCTTTCCCAAGCCTTCCACCTTCTCCTTTCCCTGCTCAGCTCCTAGTCTCTCTTTGGACCGTTGCCCTCTCCAGCCCAGTTGGTTATTTCTCATCAGTCAGTCGGGCTGCAGGTTTCCGCCTCTTTCTTGCCAGCGTGAGGCATGTGGTATCGGTAAATAGAGGCCACAGCACCACACCTGAGAGGAGACTGGTGACAGCGGTGAGAAAGGCTGGGCCTGGGGATTCAGGATGCTAAGTGAAGATGGTACTTCTGAAATGTCCCAGAAAGCACCTTTATGACTTCTCTTAACTGCTGCCACCCCCCACCGCCTGTCGGGCCCCTCCTCCTCCCAGCCATATCACAATCTCTCCGGCTTAAGTCAGCCTTTCACCTACAGGTCTGTGATGTGGTTTCATTAAGATTCCCACAAATGTTAGGCTAGGCCGGAAAAGTTGGTTCATTTCCCAGACTCAGGAAGTTAGGAGGCTTTGATTAGGGGAAATCTGTTTTGAATAAATACAACCTGGGTTTGTGTATAGTGTCCAAAACCTCCTAGCTCTCCCAAAGGATGACTTGTTCCCTGGTGTGATTCAGATTCCAGTGGCTGAAGAAAGAAGGTGAAGAAGTGGAGGAGGGGAGGGAATGGCCCGTAAGGATAGAAATCCCACTATTATTTTTAGAGTCTTCTTCATGATGATTATACAACAGTATGGTATAGTGGAGAGCGCCCTGGACTGAAAGTCAGCAGACCTGTTTTCTTGGCTTAGCTTCGTGGCTTTGTGACCGAGAGAAGTGATTTCCCCCCTTCGGTCTTCAGTTTACTTATTTCCAAAACAAAGTAATTGGGGCTGTCACCTATAAAATCTCTTCTAGTTCCTAGTTCTGTGCTAATCAAATCATCAGTATTATACTGGAAGTAAATGGATATATTTAAGATATACTAGCCTCTTTCTCTTTTTGAGAATATTTAACCTTTTCTTCTTTTAGGGGACAAAAACAGATTGGAAATAAACTCTTCCATTTCTTCACTCTCAACCTTTGAGGCAGTGCTCATCTTTCTGCCTCTGGGAAAGGAAGATTGAACTGCATTTTCTTGTTCCTGCCTCATTTTTTTTCTTTTTGTGTTTTTCCTTAGGGCTAGAAATTGGACTTCTGATGATGTTTGACCCAGTGGCAGCAATAGCACACAACGTGATTTCAAAGCTGGGCTCAGCTTCTGTTTCTTCCCTCTTATAATCACAAACCCATTTTGGACCAGGAATTCCAATCATGTCTGTGATGGTGGTGAGAAAGAAGGTGACAAGGAAATGGGAGAAACTCCCAGGCAGGAACACCTTCTGCTGTGATGGCCGCGTCATGATGGCCCGGCAAAAGGGCATCTTCTATTTGACCCTCTTCCTCATCCTGGGGACATGTACACTCTTCTTCGCCTTCGAGTGAGTTTCCATTGAGTATTATTGCCTGATTATGGTTACTTTGGGTCCAGGGGAAGAACCTTCTTTCTGGGGAGTTTGTGGCTAGTCCTTGGATGGTTGTCACTGTCCTCTTGAGCAGTGTCTGTAGATCATGTCAACTGAATTCATTGCTTTGTATGTGCCTCCTTAAAAGACCAAGATGTTTGATAACCAATTTTATAGCACTGATTTGGGGCCGCCCCTGGAACACTTAGAAAATAAAAGAATTAATCTTCATTACTCCCCTCCCCTTTTCAGTGGTCTACTTAGGTGGTTAGTGACAGATTGCCTCTTCTCCACCCCTCCTGAGCCTAGGAGCACTCCCTGTAGTCGTAACTCCACCCCATGATACTCACCTATTCTGTTATTCTGGGTCCTATTTCCTTAGGGCTCAGCTCTCAGCTAGCTGTTAAATTGAAAAGCCAACTGAATTGAGAACCTGCAGATTGGTTCCAGCCTCAGCTGAGCCACAGTCTAGCTGTGTGTGTGGCACATATGTGCTTATTAAATGTGAGTTGCTTTTTCTTTCAGTCAAAATCACTCAACATAAACAACTCTCTATTCTGTGTGTGCCCAAAACCAGCCTTGGAGTTATTTTTTCTGTGATGTAACAGCTAGTACTAGAGGCAGTTTGAAATCTGTGTTGATCACTGCTCTAGGGAGGTGACCAGTTGGCTACTGTGGCATGACTCCTGGGTATGCTGAGAATGTGGTACACTCCAGGGATGAGAGCAATGCTAATTGGTTTGGGATTATTATGAGGAAGGCCTTGAAGGAACCAAGAGATGTGTTTGTAGACTGAGCCACACCTAATATGAACCTGCTACAGTTCATGCACTCCAGTGACCTGGAAATGAAACTCCCCTCAGGGGGCGTGGCCATGGGATGGAGGAGGGGGCTTCTTGGCTTGCCTTTGTGGATAATTAAAATCAGCTCTGATCTTTGGGGGCTTATTTTTGTCTTTCTTCTGTAAGGGCTTCAGGCTTTCCCAGTGCATCAAGAGTGATTTTTGGGGGGCTGGTTTGCCAGACTTTGGGATAAGTGTAAATGGCTTGAGTAACAGCAGGGGAAGGAGGGGGATGTAGTTTATAACAGGGCCAGGAAAGTAAGGTCAGAGGACCTTTTTGTCAAAGGCACTTTTTTTGCTGCTGCTGCTACCAAGTTGTAAAATATTTGGCAAAATCAGACAAGTTGATCATGGCTTCTTAGCTGCTTTCCAGTCAGAGTTTCATGGCTGAGTGTGTGTGTGTGTGTGTGTGTGTGTGTGTATGTGTACTTTATGTGGTATAAATGAGCGTGTGCAGGCGGGCAGGCATAAGCATAACATTTAAAAAAATATTTCCCCACTCCTCACTCTTGTCTCCAAGTTAGCTTTGTTCCTTACTTGCTTGTTTATGGAATTGCAGAGCTGAACTCTGCTTTCTGTCATCCTCACTCCTTCCTCTGCTAAATCACTAGCTTTTTTTGCCTCTCTCCCCTCCCCAACTCAGGGCTAAATTTTTGTGGTTGAAACCATTCAAAACAGAGATGAGATTTGTTTCCAGGCCCTGAGTGAGCTGGTAATTCTGGGCCCAGGAACTCTCTGGTTTGACTGGCCAAGGCAAGTTGAAATTTGGAGCTACTGGCATTTGGCCCTTTTTGTATCTGGAAGCCAGACAGAGTATGATTTGGATGTGTTCCCTTCGACCCTGAAGGCCTCTGAAGAAAACTGCCTATGGGATGAAGCTTATAATTAACCAAGTTACTGTTTGACAGAGGCAGGTTGGGTTTTCTGGTGAGATGACTTTTTTCCCCCAAGTTATTTCTTGCCCTCAGACTTGAAGGGTGAGGTTGTTTGTAAACTGCCTTGGGTTCCAGCTGTGTGTGTGGTAGAGTAAATAGTTTTGAGGGTAGGGCTGGGGGAGGGAGTAGGAAAGGGGAAAGGGAGAAGGAAGTAAAAGTGTTAGCTGAGAAGTGGAATGGGGAAGTTTACATCTGACCAAAGGGGAGAGGGCCCCGACAATGAATCCTTACTAAAGAATGGTGGAATCTGTTTGTGAGCGTGTATGTGTGTGTGCATATATGTGTGCACATGTATGCATCTGTCTGTCAAATGTAGACACATGGGCACTCTAGGTGGTGGCTGCCTTGAGCCTAGTTCCACTGACAGGCTGTACAGAGGACACCAGCATGCCTCTGAGCAATGAAGTCTCTTTCTGGTCGACCTTTTTCTTTGGGGTCTATAATTTACTATCCACCACACGGTGGAGGATAGGGTTGGGGGGCAGAATATGGGCTCCTTTGCTAGTATGAGAACTTACGGAGACCTCAGGAATTCATCTGGTTTAGTCCCCTGCTTTCAGGCAGTTGAGGGTGTCTGAACCAGCAGTGACAAAGGACTGTCTCTTTTCATGTTTAAATTATCTAGGAGCATAGACTGTACATTCTCTGGCTGCTGCATTTTGGCTTTGAGGAAGAAAGTTCCGATCTTGAGGCACATCTGGACCTGCATTTTAGTAACAGGGTCCTGCTTGCAGCAGGTGTGGAGGAATGAGTGAGAGGTGATTTATAACCCCCCGTGGCACAGCCCTGGGTCGGCCAGATGGCTTGAGAAATCTGGTCAGGCGTGTGGGCGCCCCTTGATGAAAAACATGCAGTGTTAGTAGTGTCAGTGGACATCTTTTTATTTTTATTTTTGGATTTCGCTTTTACATGTTTAGATTTCTCAAAGGAGGGACCTGTGATTTTTCAGTGGACAGACAGTAGGTTAACTACATAAAATGAGAAAAGGTGGTCCATACAGGTGCTCATTAGCTCTGTATTGTTAGAAGTGTTTCCAAAGAAGCTGGGTAGCCATCTCTCAGAGCTGCTGTCACAGAGTGAATTCCTGCCCAGGATGGGAAATAGGGCTAGATTATCACTAAGCCTCTAGCAGCTCTGAGAATCTGAAATTCTATATAACTCTTGTGTCTGTCTGGGAGATTCTAATACACACATAGAAAAGGAGAGGATAGAAGATTGCCAGTAGATAGCTGTATTTTAAATGTAATTGTACCTATTGTATCTATAGTAAATGTATTTGAATTTAGAAGCAGAGTATACATTGTACAGTGCTTAAAAAAAGAATTTCCTTGCAAGTAGAGATTATCATACTAAGTGAAGTAAGTCAGAAAGAAAGACAAACACCATATGATATCACTTATATATGTAGACTCTAAAATGTGACACAAATGAACCTATCTACAAAACAGAAACAGACTCAGGAACATAGAGAAAAGACTTGTGGTTGTCATGGGGGATGGGGTTGGGGAAGGAATGGAGTAGGAGGTTGGGGTTAGCAGATGTAAGCTATTATATATAGAATGGATAAACAACAAGGTCCTACTGTGTAGTACAGGGAACTGTATTCAATACCCTGGAATTAATCATAATGGAAAAGAATGTACATATAATGGAATCACTTTGCCGTACAGCAGAAATTAACACAACATTGTAAATCAGCTATACTTTAATCAAGAGTATTCTAGTTAGGAAAAAAAAGAGGAATTTCCTAATGTATTCTTAGGATGAGGTATTTAGGAAATGTGAACTTTAAGCCCATGAAGCATTCTCCGTCCTTTCTGCCCAAACTCTGTCTAGCTTCTGTGATGAACACATAACCAACAGCTTGGCCAGGAATGTCAGGACACTATAGCGGACTGACACTGACAACCTGTGAACTGTCCAACTACCGAAAGGCTATTGTGGTATTTAGTCAAATTCAACTTTCTGATAAAGCTTGGGGAAAAGACCAAGTGCACTGTGTTCTGAAAGTGGCTTCCTAGCTTTCTCTTTTAACTGTGTGACCAGATCACTACTGGGGTCAAGGTCTCTTGTGGCATGAAAGATTGTGTGACTCTTGACCCCTGAAGTAGGAAGGCGTTTACTGCTGTGATCAGTGCTTATGCCTCACTGTGCCGTATCTAGCGGAAATCATATCAAGGCATTATCAAACCCTGTTGGACTGACCCTCCTGGGTGCTTCTGATGTACAGAGGAGTCATTGAATTGGATGAACTGAAAAAAGCTTTGTAGCACTGCTTAGTAATTGTCCCACTTCTAGCCTATTCAGACTCTACCTCTTTTTCAAGTCCCTTCTTGAGTCTTCCTTCTTGAAATTTTTCTAGTAATTTCTGCATTCATAGGACTAATTATACATACCAGTCATTTAACGCATAATTACATGACATTTTTATATTTTTTAATTCTGTGGATATTACAATTTGAGTTCTTTCAGGGTCAGGGACTATCCTCTGTGTGTGTGTGTGGCCCCCACAGTGCCTTCTACTAGGCCTTACTAGAGTGTGTGATCAATAAATGTAGCTGAATCGATACATTCTGGATGCACTTAAAATGTAGCAGTCTTGACTTACAGAATCATAGAATGATAGATCTGAAAGGGGCCTTGGAGACCATCCCCATCCTTTTGCGGGTGATAAAACCAGGTCTACAGAAATAGATTTCATCAAGGTCAATCGGTCAGCCAGTGCCTTTATACGACACTACCTTTCATCTCATTGTTACCTTTTGAGTACAGAATCCTGAAGACATGCAGATTACTAAAGCTGTGCATAGTGCCAAATGCTGGGCTGGCATACTCTGGGGTCTTGCTAGCTGGTGTTTGTGTTGCCTTAGTGGATTCTAGGTTACCTTGGCATCCTTAACTCATGCTTCTAGTGGCTCAGATGGTAAAGCGTCTGCCCACAATGCTGGAGACCCAGGTTCAATCCCTGGGTTGGGAAGATCCCCTGGAGAAGGAAATGGCAACCCAGTCCAGTATTCTTGCCTGGAAAATCCCCATGGACAGAGGACCCTGGTAGCCTACAGTCCATGGGGTTGCAAAGAGTCGAACACGACTGAGTGATTTCACTCACTAGAAAATGAAGGCATGTTTGTGGAAAACTGACTATATTCTAGTATGGCATTCTGGTAGCCTTGCAGGAACAAGGAACCCCTTCCTTTAAG